CCCGCCTCTAGCAGCACCCGCCTCTAGCAGTACCCGCCTCTAGCAGTAGAGGCCTCTAGCAGTACCCGCCTCTAGCAGTACCCGCCTCTAGCAGTACCCCTCTAGCAGTACCCGCCTCTAGCAGTACCCGCCTCTAGCAGTACCCGCCTCTAGCAGTACCCGCCTCTAGCAGTACCCGCCTCTAGCAGTACCCGCCTCTAGCAGCACCCGCCTCTAGCAGTACCCGCCTCTAGCAGTACCCGCCTCTAGCAGCACCCGCCTCTAGCAGTACCCGCCTCTAGCAGTACCCGCCTCTAGCAGTACCCCTCTAGCAGTACCCGCCTCTAGCAGTACCCGCCTCTAGCAGTACCCGCCTCTAGCAGTACCCGCCTCTAGTAGTACCCGCCTCTAGCAGTACCCGCCTCTAGCAGTACCCCTCTAGCAGCACCCGCCTCTAGCAGTACCCGCCTCTAGCAGTAGAGGCCTCTAGCAGCAGGCGATCACCGTCACTCCAAAGCCCTGGCCCGTATCGGCCGGCGCACGCCTCTCCCTCGCCCGTGGAGGCGGTCGAGAGGCGCACACCGTGGCTGGGAGGTAGGCACCACCACATCGACCCCCGATCTCCCCAGATCTCCCCCCTATCCCACTGCGAGGTAGGCACCACCATATCGACCCGCGCGCGGGGCTGTGGCGGCAGGCGGTCGAGGCGACCCTCACGCGCCCCGCGACCAAGGCGAGCCTTATTGTACTTAGATTAATATAATATATTATATTATATCACGCGCCCCGCGACCCAGGCGAGCCGCCTCTGGCCGAGGATGCACACGGCGGCGCCTGCGGCAGCGCCTGCGGCAGCGCCTGCGGCAGCGCCTGCGGCAGCGCCTGCGGCAGCGCCTGCGGCAGCGCCTGCGGCAGCGCCTGCTGCGGCCTCGGTCGGCGTGCCGATTCGCGGCCCGGCGGAGCTGCGTGCGAGTGACGGTGGCTGGTTCAGCAACCCGTTTGACGACGACGACTCGGAGGCGGGGGGCGGGTGCGAGGAGGTGGTCGGGTTGAGAGAGGGGGGCGTTGACAGCCTGTAGCACCGAGTAGGACGAGGGCGAGGCGGAGGAGCTCGAGAGGGCACTCGACAGGCAGGTGTGCGGCGCTGTGCAGGCCGCTCAACAGGGTACATAGCATGCGTCTCACATGCCACCGCCGCGCAGGTGCTGCTCGACCCGCACGAGCTCGTTATTACTTAATCACCTAATTAACCAATTAATTAAGGTGCTGCTCGACCCGCACGAGCTCGTGATTACTTAATCACCTAATTAACCAATGAATTAAGGTGCTGCTCGACCCGCACGAGCTAACCCTAACCCTAACCCTAGCCCTAACCCTGACCGCAGGTGCTGCTCGACCCGCACGAGCTCGTTATTACTTCATCACCTAATTAACCAATTAATTAAGGTGCTGCTCGACCCGCACGAGCTCGAGGCGCACCTCGTGGGAGGAGGCTCCGGCGGAGGGGGAGAGGGATGACAACGAGATGGCATGCTTCCTAAGGCGCTGCTCGGCGAGGAGCTCAACACCGAGGAAGGGCGCAAGGAGCCGGTCCTCAAGGCGACCGTCCTCTCGCTCGCCGCCCTCATGCTCGCCGTCGCTCTCTACTCGACCCTCGGCCCGCTCGCCGCGCCCGTGCTCGCACCCGCCGCCGCCGGCTGCGCCTCCGCCGCCGCCGCGCTCGGCGCCCGCGCCCGCGCCGCCCGCGCTCTCGTGGGCGGCGAGGCCCACCGCCACGCGCGGCTGTCCACGTCGGAGGGAGCCCAGCTGGCGCCGGCCGAGGACAACGCGGCGGAGCGGCTCAAGGCGTGGCTGGCGCAGAAGAGGTCGCGGAGGGGCGTGCGATAGAAGCCCTGCCTTCAAAAGTAGCCCTTGGAGCCTTTTTTGCATTCCTCTCTGGAGGAGCACTTGGAGTTAGAGCTCTACTTTCGAGTGCTGCAAATGCAGTGCACTTGGAGCACACTTGGAGTGCGGTCATTATAGCCTCACATCCAGGGCCGGGGAGCTAAGAAGCCCGCACCCCCCAGCGGGCCGGATGATCGGGATCTCGGGTTACGGGCTAGAGAAACCCTAGCCCTGGGGGGTGCGCGTTCGCAGGGAAAGGGCCGTAAAGTAAACACGGGTCTCCGAGGGTTAGTCCGCGCTTCGGGTTTCCCCTACGCCCTAGCGGCGGGGCGCCCCCCCTCAGCCGCCCCTCTACTCGGAGCTAGTAGACACCAGACTCGTACACCACACTCGTACATTCTCACTCGACCTCGCCGCACCGGCCCCCCCCCGGCCAGGACCCCTCATCCCCACCCCGCTCAGTCCTCTCTCCCGTTCGCTTTCCGCTGGTTCGGCGACGGGTGCGGAGCCCGCCTTCCCCTCTTATGCTTCTTCGGCCGCGGCCCCACCGCCGTCTCGTCTTCTCTGCCTGATCCCGTTGACTCCGCCTTCGGCGATCCCGCGCCCGACTCCCCGGGCAAAAGGCGGCGGCATTGGGTCGTGTCGCCTCCCCTCCCCGGGGGGTCGGGCCGGCTCTCCCTGGTCGGCGAGTCGCGCCCGCATCCGCGGTCTCTCTATCGTCCTCGGCTCGCCTCCCCCCTCCGCCGGCTCCTCGTCGAGCTCGGGGCGGCATGGCCCCCCTCGTCGTAAGTCACGTTGGTCCAGCTGCCGCCCGCGACGGGTCTACCCCTGGCGGGCTCGTATGTCCCGACCCCACTCGCAGAGGCCGAGACAGCCCAACTCTCACCCCCTCCGACAGTTGACTCCAGGTTTCACCCGGGGCCCTCCGGTCTCGGCCTCCCGATTCGTCGGTTGGCCCACTGTTTGCCCACGGCACCTCCCCCCCCTCGGTCCCCTCCCTCGGGTGCTCCAGCCTCCGGCGGGTTGGCTGCGGGTTCCCCAGGTTCCGTGAGGGTCCGTACGGTGACGGCCACGCCGGCAGCGGGGGCGGAGGCGGCGGTAGGGGGGGCGGGTACGGTGTCGGCACTGGCGGCCGCAACGCCTGGTGTGGGACTTCAGGGGCGGCCCCTCGGCCCTGCAGCCGTTCCCGCGGCAGGGGCGGAGGCGGTGGGTGGGGGGGCGGGTACGGTGGCGGTACTGGTGGCCGCAATGCCTGGCGTGGGGCCTCAGGGGCGGTCCCTTAACCCTGCGGTGTCGCCCCAGCGGCGGGGGCGGAGGCGGAGGCGGGGGGGGCGGGTACGGTGGCGGTACTGGCGGCCGCGACGCCTGGTGTGGAGCCTCGGGGGCGGCCCCATGACCCTGCAGCCGCTCCAGCTGTGGCTCCACGCGCCGATCGTTCACTGCGCTCCGGGGGGGGGATCTAGCCCTTGCTTCCCCCCGTGGAGGGAGGGGGGCAGGGCCCGGGCTCGCCGCTGGCCTCGCCTCTCCTCCCCCTCGCGTTCCGCTAGGTCGTAGGCTGTCTATCATCCCCTTCGATCCGCACCCGCACTGCCCGAATGTCGAAGGCTGCGTTGTGTTCGGACAGCGGGCCCGCCGACGCCACTCGCTTCTTCACACAGCAGGCGTATGCCATCATCGCCTGTCCCCCCGACGGTGTCGATCCCGGTGCAATGTCATTGACGAGGTATCCCCCCCCCCCCCCCCCACACCGGAACACCTGCCCAAGAAGGTCCGTCGAGCCAACCAGCCGTTTAGCCAGGCCCCGCACTTCTCGTGCCTGCACCGGTCTGAGCACGCCGGTGCTGGCTGCGAGCGACAGGCCGATTGCCCTAAGTTCCGCCAGGACTGCCCTCTCACCCGCCGCCGCGGCCTCTTGATCCCTCCCGGCTTCTCGGATCGCGTTCTGTCGTTGTTTTACCCTGTCTGCTGCCGGCACGAACCTCTCCGGGGTGCCTCGTGCCCTTCTTGGCAAGATCCGCATCGGGGCAGGTCGATCCACAGCTGTAGCCCCGGCTCGGGATGTGCTCGCCCGTTGCGATGGTTGCTCCCCCCTAGCCTTGAGCCTGTCTCCACGCCGCCCCTTCTCACGGATCACAGGGGCCGCACAACCGAAGCACACAAACACCCCTCGTCCCTGCATGGCGTGGCATAAGCGCGTCTTCATCCCCTCCTCCGCCTCCCCTTCCACCCGCTCAGAGATTCGTTCGAGGATGGCACTAACCACCCCTTCTGCCACTTTCGTAGCCGCAGGTCCGTCTTCCGGGTTTACGTGGAACAGTGTGCGAAATTTACCTAAACTTACCGCCGCACCCATGGCAGGCGGCTAGCGTGGGGAAGCGCTCCGTCCCGAGCGACTCAAGAGGGATCCCCACTGCTTGCCAGTGGCGCGTCACCTGTATTGCCCGCTGCTTGACTACCCGAGCCACCAAGCACCATCCTCACAGGGCGCCTCCCTCCATCCCGAGCAGCGCACCCGCCATCTCCGCTTCCGCCATTCCCACTAGTCGCAGGAATCGGGGGAGGGCGGCCGGCACCGCTCCGTCGGGGACGGCTTCTTCCGGGGCTGCTCCAGCAAGTTCGTGTAGCGCACGTAGCGTCGTTGCCGCATCGTTCGCCTCCTCCCCGCCCCCAAACCGGCCTTCTCTGACAGAGGTAGGAATGACAGGGAGTCGGGCTGCCAGCGAACCACCCTCCATGGTGCCATGAAGTCCACCGCCCCGCAGCATGTCTGCGCAGTCCACGCCAGCGTCCGCCGCCCCCCGCCCCCATACCACGTGGGGGCCCACATCGTTGGTGCGCCGGTCCCCCGCCCGCCGGTGCCGCCCGCTAAAAAGGCGAGCCGCCGTAGCGCCTCGGTTACTTCTTACCATCGCAGCCACGTTATCCCTCCTCGGCGCGAAGAGGAGCACTCTGACGTGCCGAGGGTTCATCAGTCGGGCGTGGCGGCGGAGCATTAGTGTGCTACATTTTTCTTTTTTTTCCGCAGCGCCTTCTTTTTCCAGTGCCAGCCAGGCAGCGTGCCTGCCTTGGCTTGCCGGAGACGCGCGGGGCCAGCTCGCCTGTCAGAGCCCGCCTGACAGACAGACACACACCACGCAATGAGTGCCAGCCCCACGGCTATGATAAGCGAGGGCAGCTTCGTGGTCCTGCTGCTCTCGGGAGGCGAGCGGAAGCTGCAGCGAGTGCGCTCCGGCGCCGCCATGCGCGTCGGCAAGCACAAGCCAACGTGCGACCCGCTGCTCGGAGCACCGTTTGGCGCAAACTTTGTGGTCGAGACTGGCGGTGGCGAGGCGCGCCTGGTGCGCGACCAGCGGACGATCGAGGAGATCGACGCCTCCGTCACCGAGGTCGCCGCCTCCCTCGGCGGCGCTTCGGCCGATGCCACCAACGCCGAGCTGAACGACGAGCGCGAGGCCACGACGGCTCAGTCGCTGAGCCACGCGGAGATTGAGGCGCTCAAGGCGGGCGGCGCGTCTGGCGAGGCGCTCGTGCACGCCATCGCTGCCGGTTCGAAGACCTTTGCCTCGAAGACTGCGTTTTCGCAGGAGAAGTACCTTCGCAAGAAGGCGCGAAAGCACTTTCAGACAGTGACTGCGCTGCGGCCCTCGCCGCTGGTGCTCTGCGACCACTTCATGGCCAAGGGCCCCGACAAGCTGATGGGCCTCCGCCGCGACTCCCTCTCCCTCCTCCTCACCCTCTCCGACCCGCGGCCCGGCGCGCGAGTCCTCTGCCTCGACGGCACGAGCGGCCTCCTCCCCGCGGCGCTCGCGGCCCAGCTCGGAGGCGACGGCGCCGTCCTCGCGGCCCACGTAAGGCAGCCCTCGCTCGACGGGCTGCAGTGGCTCAACCTCACGCCGCAGTGCGCCGCGACCGTCGGCTCGGCGTCGCTCCAGCAGCTCCTCACGTGGGCTCCCTCCTCCTCGCCCTCCTCCTTGCCCTCCTCCTCGCCCTCCTCCTCGCCCGCTGCCGCCGCCACCGCGGCGGCGGCGGTGGCCGATCCCGCCGCGGCGGCGGCCGAGGCGGCGGCCGGCGATGGCGATGGCGCGGGTGTGGCATCGATGGCTACGGAGGCGAGCGGTTGGCTTGCGAGTGGTGGCGAGGGCGGCGCTCCAGCGACGGCAGACGGGACGGAGGCGGTGGCGGAGGCGGGCGCGGTGGCGGAGGCGGGCGCGGTGGAGGGTGAGGGGGCGGAGGGGGCGGAGGGGGAGAGCGGCGCGGCGGGCGGCGAGGAGGGTGGGGGCGGTGGCGGTGGCCCCGACCGCCGCGCGCGCGCGACCAAGCTGCAGGACAGCGCGGCACTCGACGCATGGTGCGCCAGAGCACCGCGCCGCTGGCCCGGTGCAGCCTGTCCCCTCACCCGCCTCGCCTGGCGCAGGCTGGCGCCGCTCTTCTCCTCTCTCGTCGTCGCGACCCGCGAGGCGCCGGCGCCGGTCCTGCCGCAGCTGCTCTCGCTCCTTCGGCCGAGCTCGCCGTTCGTCGTCTACTCGGCGAGCATGGAGCCGCTCGCGCAGTGCTACCACCTCTGCCAGGCGCCCCCTGCCCGTCCAGGGCGAGCGAGGGCCCGCCTCGACCACCCCCTCGCCGCCCCGCCGCCCTCCCGCAGGCGAGTCGCTGCGCCGTGCGCCTCCAGCTCCTCGAGACCTTCACGCGCGCGTACCAGGCGCTCCCCTCCCCCACGCACGCCACAGGGGGGCGTGAAGTCTGTCCCGTCTGCCTCGTGCCAGGCCGCCTCTCACTTGCCCGCCCCGCGGCGCGCAGGTGGCGCCGAACCGGACGCACCCGACCATGAGCACCTACCCGCCGACGGGCTACGTGCTGGCCGGCATCAAGGTGGCTCCGCCGGCAGGGAAGTGAGCGGCGCGGGGGCGGGCGCGGCGGCCGGCGCGCGGAGACACGCGACGGGGCGAGCTTGACGAGCAACTCGCTCTCACCACTCTCCTGCCGCACTCACGGTCCGGTCCGCGCGCCACATCCGCATCATCCGGCGTGAGGGGTGAGGCCCACGCCGCACGCATACGCGATACTTTATTACGGTCTCTCACGTCTCAGCTCTCTCACACCACACGCGCGGCGCGCGGGAACGAAATGATAATTGTGTCATTCATATGTCGCACTAAGTGTATCCGTGGGGGCGGGGCGGACAGCCCAGGAGCGTGCCCTGGTGGATCTCTCGTCTCTGGACTCTGCCCAGTCCGGGGGTGCGTCGAACCTTCCATCACCCTGGGAACGTCCGGGTGTTGGAAGTAAAGATATATTACTTTTTTTGTCGCACTAAGTGCGGTGCGTCTACACCTCCCCATTCTAAAGAAACAAGAGCTGTGGCGCGTACCGAGACCGCGGCGGCGTGCGGCGAGAGACGAGAGTGCGACTACGCGCGCGGTTTAGACGGGAGCTCGGGGGGCGGCGCGCATCTCGTCCGTGTCTCTTCATGAATCTGAAACGCGTCTGCCGTCTCGAGACACATGCGGCGCGAGACGCGCTCGCAAGCTGGCAGCCGCGCGCGCTCTCTCGACGGGGGCGAGGCGGAGGGGGGAGGGCGGATCACAGGAAGTAGTCTGGCATGCGCGTAGTGAAGTCGGGCACCTTGCGCAAGTGCTGCGGCCGCGGCTCGAAGACCTGAAAGTCGATGGCTCCCTCGACCGAGATGGTGAGGATGGCGGCGACGTTGCCGCAGCGGTAGCAGTAGTTTGGCGCCGACCAGACGGTGACGAGCAGCTGGCCGAAGAAGTACTTGTACCCCTCCATCGCCAGCTGGTGCGAGCGGGCGATGAGCTCGAGGTGGTTTGCGTACAGGAACTGGTCGGCGATGTCGGGGCCAAAGACGTAGCCGGCGCCGCGCGCGGAGATGCCCCAGCCCTGGATGTCGTCGTCCGGGTCAGACCACATGAGGTCGCACATGGGCCCCTCGTGAGGGGGCTCCTGTGAGGGCGGGAGGCGGGTGGAGGGAGGAGTGGCGAGGGAGTGACCCGGCAGTGTTCTCGAGGGAGTCTCGGAAGAGTCTCGGGAGTGTCTCGGAAGAGTCTCGGAAGAGTCTCGGAAGAGTCTCGGGAGGCGCCTGGACGCGGTGGAGGTCCTGGATCTGGTCGATGGTGTCGAGGGAGGGGGAGAGGCCCCCGTGCACGCACAGCACCGAGTTGTCCACCACTGCGGAAAGGCAGAGGCAGTCGAACACGTCGACGCACGCTCGCCAGACAGCCGTGTTTCCGTACTTCTTGAGGCACTCGTCGTAGAAGCCGTACACCTGCGGAGGAGGGAGGTTAGGGCTCGGCCGGGGCGAAGAGGGCGCGGCGCCTCGCGGGCGGTCCCGCCTGCGTGATCTGTCGGCTCTCGTGGTTGCCTCGGATCAGCGTGACGCGCTTTGGGTACCGGACCTGCGGCGTGGGAGGCAGGGGGGAGGCAGGGGGGGGGCGCGTGTGGGAAGGGGGAGAGGGGCGGTGTGTGTGGATGGTGGGGGGTCTCTTGCCGCGAGAGCCTCGCGCGGGCAGCCAGCCAGGCGCACGCGCTGGTGCAAAGCAGTGCCGCGAGGGGACCTCACTCACCACCACCGCCCCTCCCTCTCCCCGTCGGCTCTTTCCCCTCGGCGGCAGGGGCCGCGCACACGCGCACCTTGAGCGCAAGCAGCAGCAGGAACGTCTCGACCGAGTAGTAGCCACGGTCGACAAAGTCGCCCATGAAGACATAGTTCACGGAGGGCACCTGACCGCCGACGTCGAACAGCTCGAGCAGGTCGTAAAACTGCCCGTGGATGTCGCCCACCTGCAAAAGCACGCGCGAGGGCGTCAGGCCGCCGGGGGCCCGCTGGCCGTGCCCCCCCCTCTCCCCGACGCCCGCCGCTACCGCCACGCGCGCACCACCACGGCGGGGATCGGCACGTGGTGCACGTTGGACTCCTCCATCAAGATTTCCTTTGCCTTTTCGCACAGCGCCTTGACGGCGTCCTCCGAGATGATTTTGCACTGCTTCAGACTGCTGATGTGCTCATCCACATCTCTGGAGCTGACGTGCGCGTCCGCCATCGCGCCGAGATGCCTCGACGCGCACGGCCGGACACAAGAGAAGGTCGCGCGCCGCCGATACGCGCCGCTGAGAGTCGCGTGATAAGAAAACACAGCATAAAACGTCCCGGAAGATTCCGCAAAAATCTAAGAAACCAAGAAAGGGCGCACACACACGAGTGTGAACAAGGAGCCCCGCTCAAATTTTCTTTTCGCCTGCGGCGCGCGCACACTTGTCATTTTGCCCAAGCCTGCGGTGTTCTGGGCGGTGTGGATGGAGAAGAAGCTCCTTATCAGCTGGTCGGCCGCCATGTGGGCCTCCGGGCCTGCTGCGGCGGCGCGGCCGGTTGAGGCCGGGCTCGGCCCGGCCCGCGACGGCTGGCCGCCGACGAGCGCGCTCGCGCTGCTCGTCAAGATGGCGGCGGTGGCGATTGCGGCGACAAAAGTTCAGGCGTACAGCGCTCAGGCGCCTGTCGTCTTTCGTCTTTTGTCGCATTTCGCACACGCGCACGCCGCGCGACCCGCGTCGCTCCGCGAGGGCATGTGCCTTCCGCGATTCGAACCCGCAGCCAAAAGCTGCTCGCTCGAACCGCGGCCGACTCTGCCACCGCGGCCGCAGCTGCTGAGCTCTCCAGAAAACTGGTGCCTCATATGCTGCCTCCCTGCGGATGCTGCCGGCGAGCCTGGCGGTCCGCTGTACTACAAGGAAGTGCTGACTCGATTTCTACTCGAATTCTTCTACCCCCACGACTCGGAACGCGAATGTGACAGGACCATCGGGTCCTTCAGCCTCCAAAGCGGGATCACCCGAGAGCAGCTGAGCCTGCCTCTGGCCTCGCCTCCCTCTCCTTCAGGCATTCGTGGCATCCTATGGGTCGTCCAGAGTATCGACCTCTGGCTTGTCAGCCGGTCACTTGATGACGACCATGAAGTACAGCGATCGCCACCTCGCTGACCTCTCCGCAAGGCCTCCCGACCGCGTCGAACTCACGGCGCGGGCTCTCTCGGCTACGGGACCGGCCCCAGCTTCGGCTGAGGGCTAACAAGCTGCCGAGCCCAAATCACTGTGAGAGTCGTGATTTCTTGTTGGTTAATAAAAATCTCTCTCTGGATGGAGATGTGTGCGTCTTCTTGTCATCCCAAGACTGCTGACTGGCGCATCGGTCCAGCGCTTCCTTATTGTCGTTTTTCCCAAAAATTCCTACGGCTGACCTGGGAGAGATTTTTATTAACCAACAAGTACAAGAAATCACGACTGTCTTGACCTGGGTGGGGTGCCGGCCGAAGCTAAGAAACCACGGCGTGGGGTGGGTGGGGTGGGTGGAAAGGCTTAGAAACGGCGGCGTGCCGCGGGATCCTGTTTTCTTAATGCCCGCAACAGACTGTAAGCTTGGGATGTCCGTTTAGGCGTTTTATTTATTTATTCGTGCCCATCTGGGCGACGGCTAGCACCACACTCCTCTCCTTAAAATCCCTGTGTGGTGGCGGCGTGCCGTCCTCCCACATCCCTCCCTTGATGCTTGATGTGTGTGTTTTCTTTCTTTCTTTTCGTGCCCATCGCTCTCGGGGACTGCTCATTATTTATTTCTTGACGATCGGGTCAATCGCGAGATGTCAGATGATATCATTTAAATGAAATAAACAAATTCCACGGGCACCACATTCTTCCGTCCTCGCACACTCGGGCTAGCCCGAAACCTACAAATTCCTAGATGAGGACCGCACACGCCTCCGGCTCCCGCGCCACGTGGTCGGCCGCCTCGCTCTCCGCCGCGTCAAAGATGCGCTCCAGGTGCGCCACGTAGCTCCGCACGAACCCGACGCGCGGCTCGGTGTGGCCTTCTGGGTCGGTCCACACCTCCGGGAAGGCGATCCCGCCGCCGTGCAGCCCGCGCGCGATCCTGCCCGTCCGGCCGCAGTGCTCCGCGGCGGCGAGGTCGAGCGGCTGCCCCTCCCACGAGGCGGCCGGCAGCGCGGGCCCGCCGCCGTCGCGCAGCGCGCGGTCGAAGCCCGCCGTGAAGGCGACGGCGGCGGGGGCAGAGGCGACGAGCGCGGCGGCCAGCGCCTCGTCCCCCGGCACCCGGCAGTAGCGCACGAGGCCCTGGTCGAGCGCCTCCCTCGCCCACGCGGCAACCTCCCCCTTGAGGCCCGTCCCGTCGTACTTGATGTAGTCGGGCCGCTCCTCAGCGAACTTCACAGCCGCCCCCCGCCCGTACACGTCGACCCGCTCGCAGCCGGCGAGCCGAACCGCGTTCCGCGCGGCGAGCAGCCCGCTGTGCGACCCTCCCACGACCGCGAGCCGCGAGCCGCGCAGCCGGCGCGCGAGGCCGTCGGCCTCGAAGGCCGCGGGCGTGACGACGGTGTCGTGGTCGAGGACGGGGATGCCGGCGGCAGCGAGCCGCGCGGTGAGCGCCGGAGAGGGGAGGCGCGGCGCGGCGCCGGTGCACAGCAGCACGTTCCTCGATCGCAGCTCTCCCGACGGGCAAGTCTCTGCCCGCCAGCCGTCGCCGTCGCCAGCCAGGAGGTGGACGCTACCCTGGACTGCCCGCACCGCCTCGTGCGACTGAAGCGCCTCGGAGCCATCGCGAAGAGCATCGATCGAGAGCTGGAGCGACGCGGTCGAGCCGGGATCCGTGCGCGCGAGCGAGGGCCCAGCGCGACTCGCCTGGCGCGGCGCGAACTGGAGATGCGGTAGGCTCTGGAACGCGCGGCAGAGCCGGTCGTTCCGCGTGTTCGCCGGGACCGAGCCGTAGCGACTGAGCCGGCCAGTCGAGAAGCTCGGATCTATCCACGTCACCTTTGCGCCTCGCCGCAGCAGCGACGCGACGGCGAAAATGCCGCAAGGGCCTGCGCCGACGACCAGCCAGTCGGTCTGCATGAACTGAGGCGTGTGTGCTTTCATTGCAGCGCGATGTTTTACGTGAGTTAGGTTCTCGAGCTTGATCCAGGCAGAGGCGAGCGCTGCCCAGGGAGGAAGAAAAGAGCACGCGCACTCGCGTTGGCATCCCGTTGCAGGAAGGTTGCTTTCTTTCTTTCTGGTTGCCGCCCGGCGTCTCTTCCATTTCGCCCTGTGTGGATAGAGGTGCGTGGGGCGATTCAAGAGTGCCTTGCCCGGACGGCGGTGCAGTATCGCTATCGGGGCTGCAGGGCAGCTCACGAAGGATTCGCGTGCGGGGTGCTGCTTGCCATGGTGCTGCGGTGCTGTCGTGTCGGGGGAGAGCGGAGGGCCCGATGCAGTAGATGAATCCCGAGCTGAGACCGGCGGGCGGGCGCGACCCGGGTGCCGCGGATGACACACGAGAATGCGGGGCCGGGGGAGCGGAACTTGTTTCCGCAGGCGAAAGCGGAAAGGACAAGACGGATTTTTAAACGACGGTGGGACTGACTCCTTCTCCCTTCTTCTCGTTTTTCTCCTTTTTTCTTCTTTTAGATGGAATAGAGAAGAATGAAAAGCCCCGGGTCATGCAAGCCATCTCCATGCAACACGGTTGAACAGACGCCCAACACGGTACTTCGGCCCCTCGCGGCATGCGAACCCTCTTTGCCCGAGTAGCCAGGTTGAGGCACAGAGACGCGGCACGGCAAGCTTTGCTGCTTGTCGCGCAATAGATGGCGCTCTCTTGCGTGTGCGGCCACGCCACTCCACGGCGGCGTCTATCAACATAGAGCTAGAGCTTGATCAGCGCCAGCGTGAAGGACACCTCGCCAATGCCGCAGGCCGTCTCGCAGTGGCTCGCCCAGTACTCGTCGCGAAGGAGCGGGAAGGTCATCGGCGTGCCCGCGGCCGCCGGCGTCGCGGCCGGGGGCGGAGGCGACGGGGGCGGGGGCGGGGAGGGTGGCGGTTGCGTCGGTGGGGGGGGGAGCGGCGGGGGCGAGGGCGGCGGCGGCGGCGGCGGTGGCGGCGAGGGCGGCGGCGGAGGCCGGGGCAAGGGCGGTGGCGGCTTCGGGCTTGGCGGCGGAGGCGGAGGCGACGCAACCAGGGCGCCGGGGCTCGGTGGAGAGGGCGACGGGGGAGGCGGCCTCGGGTTGGGCGGGGGCGGCCGCGGAGCGGGTGGCGGAGGCGGCGATGGCGATGGGGCCGGCGGCGGAGAGGGCGGCGGCGGCGGCGATGGCAGCGGTAGGGGCGGCGGCGCGGGGTCGGGGCTTGGGGGCGGGGGCAGTGGCACGGGCGGCGGCGACGGCGGGGAGAGGCCGGCCGGCAGCTGTGCGGCGGGCCAGGCGGCCCGGTAAATCTTTCCGGTCCAGCCGAGCCAGTCGTCGAGGGACATCTTGTCTCGATCGTACAGGCTGAGCGAGATTGCGTCCTCGGGGTGGCCTTCCCCGAGGTACACGAGAGGCTCGCTCGCCCACGCCGCTCCCGCCGAGAGGCCGTTGGCGTCTGGCTCCGCCTCGACGGGAGCCGACTCGAAAAGGAGGCGCTGCTGACCGGTGGCGCCGTCGTGCATGAAGATGCGGATGTACGGGTCTGCCGCCCCCTCCGCCTCGATGGGTACGCCCGCGAGCCCGAGGATCACCGACCAAAAGGCGACCAGCGCCCTCTCGAAGGGGCCGTGCGGCACGTGGTGGAGGCCGCTGGCGCGGAGGTCGGTGAAGGCCAGCGCCGAGGTGGCGGGAGGGGGCGTGGGCGGCGGCGGCGCGAGCGGCGCCGGCGCCGGGAGGTCAATCCCGCCCATGTTGAAGAGCTGCAGGATCCCGTTTGAGCTCCCGATGGAGAGGAGCGAGTTGATGGACGTGATGGAGAGGATGGAGCAGATGGAGCCGATTGAGAGGGCCGAGTTCTCCGAGGCGACGCTGGCGAAGGACCCGGACGAGAAGACGCTCCCCAGGCTGGCCGTGCTGCCGACGGAACCAACAGAGGAGTGTGATCCAACAGACGCGACCGAGAACTCGGAGCCGGCGGAGCCAGCCGCGGCTGTCGATCCGAGCGATCCGAGAGAGTACGCGGAGCCGAGGGCGGTCGCCGCCTGCTCCACCGAGGGCGCTCTCACTGAGCGCACCTCTTGAGCAGGGACGGGAGAGCCGATGGAGAGGAGGAGAGCGATCATGCCAAAAAACCCAGCTGAAGCTCACGCTAAGGAGTATACACAGTGGTTTTTCTTTTTATTTCGGAAAACGGCTTGTGCGCAACGGTCCGGGGAGAAGGAGAGAGAGAAAGCGGATACAAAGCCACGAAAGGAGAGCATGGCCGAGGATTGAAAGGCACCTCCGCCGCTGGACAGGGTGGCCCGCCACAACGACCCCTGGAATTGCGACTCGCCGCTTTCCTCCCGCTGTGATTCTGTGTGAGCTCTGTGTCTTGTTTGCCAACAATACACCTAACACAAGAACACAACGCACTCTCTTATGTATGTATGTAGGAAGGCGAAGAACAGTTGGGCTCAGCCCGGTTTGCCTCTCGCACCCTTGGAGCACCCCGTCTGTTTTCCTTTCCTTTTTTCTCTACAACACCCTCTCTTTCCCTCTCTATTTCCCCGGGAAAACTGCGTGGAAATCGTCAAATTTTTGGCTCTGAGCCGAGTCTGAGGCTGGTTTGGGCCCCAAATCAGCCAAATTTTAGGCCAAATCGGCAAAATGCCGGGAATTTCGCGGAGAACCCGTGTATACCTGGAAATTACCCTGCGACCGCCTGGGCATTTTGTCGATTTCCTCAATTTTGCCTCAGATTTTGCCCCAGACCAGCTCTCAGACTCAGGGAAACTCGCGAGTTTCCAGAATGGAGCACCAAACACCCTCTGTTTTCCCTGGAAATTTCCGGAAACGCAAAGTGCTGGGGACCCTCTGTTTCGTTTTTTTTGTTTTCCGGAAAACTGGGTTGAGCCCAAAAGAACAGCCGGGCTCGGACTGGACACCAACGCGGTATGGGTGGACGCTGGACAGATGATGACGACACGCACGAGCGACACACAGACACAAACAAGCTCTCTTAGATCTAAAGAGAAAACAGAAAAGAATTCTCTTAATAGAAGCCTCTCTGAAAAGAATTCGCTCCGCCGAGTCGCGCCTCGATTGGGTCGGCCCCGGCAGTTGCCTCGCCATGGACTCGCCCGCCTCGTCGGCACGCAAGCAGCGCGCCGCTCGCACCGACACGACCGAGCTCCCCCAGCCGATGGCCTGCTCTTCTGCCGACGAGCTGGTCTCGCACGTCGGCGAGATCTGCCGGTCGCTGCAGCAGCCCGTGCGCACCGAGGAGCTGTGGGAGGAGCGGGCGCTCGCGATGCGGCGCCTGCACGCGCTCCTGCTCGGCGGCGCGGCGCAGCACGAGCAGTTCGCTCGCCTCGCCAACTCCGACCTCGCCGCGCCGCTCGCGCTGCAGCTCACCGACCGGAGGTCCAAGTGCATCAAGATTGCGTGCCTCGCCGCGGGCGAGGTTGCGGCACGGCTCGGGGCTGGGTTCGCGGAGGGAGCGTCGATCCTGCTCCCCAGCCTCCTCAGACTGCTGCGCGGCGCGGCGCCGTCCGTCGTCGTCGCCTCGGCGGACGGGTGCGGCCAGCTCCGCCTCCGCCTTCCGCACCGCTCTCCCCGGCCGCCACACCCCTCGCCGCCGCGCGGACAGGTGCATCCGGGCGCTGGTGCGCCACACTCTCGCTCCCGAGCTGCTGCCGCCGCTCGTCGCCGGCGCAACCGCCCGCGGCGGCGCGGCCGCGCTGCGAGGCGCCTGCGTCCGCTTCCTCGGCGACGCGCTTGAGGCGCTTCCCTCCGACGCGCTCGCGCCGCACCTTCGAGCGATCGGCCAGGCGCCTCGCAGCCCCGCGTCGCCCCCTATCCGCCTGTCCCGCCCCGACGGCCCTCCCTCCGCCCGCCCGCAGGCGCTCGGCGAGGCGGTGGCGGACGCCTCCTCGGGCGTGAGGGCGGCTGCGGCAGCCTCCTTCGCAGCGTCCTTTGCGCCGAGGTTCGGCGACGAGGCGGCGGCCGTCCGCGCGACCTTCTCCGCCGCGTCGGAGCGGCTGGTTGCCTCGAAGGCGGAGGCGGCTGCAGACCCGCCCGCTTCCGTATCGACACCCCAGGCGACGCCCCCCGCCGCCGCGCCTCCGCGCCCCAGGCAGCCACACTCGGGCGGGCAGCCGCACTCGGACGAGGCGAGGCGGCGGGACCGGTCGGGAGGAGGGGGCCGATCGGGAGGGAGTCCGAGCGGCACCGGGCGCGGCTCGGAGGCCGGCTCGGGGGGCAGGCCCCGCTCGCTCGACGAGGCCAAGGCCGCCGGCCGGCGCAGGAGGAGGGACGAGGCGGAGAGGGCACAGGCGGCGGCGCGGGGCGAGGGGGTGGCGCTGGCAGCGGCAGCGGCAGCGGCCGTTGTGCGGACGGCCGCTGCGGCGGCGGCGGGTTCGGCGGGTTCGGCGCAGGAGGTGCAGGTCTTCGCCCCGGTGCGCCTGTCGTCTCCGGAGGCGGAGCGAGTGGCAGCAGCAGCGGAGTCGGGCGAGCCTCAGCCGGCGTCCACGCCTCCGCCGCCGCCGACGCCGTCCGCGATGGCGTGGAGCGTCGAGCCGCCTCCCCGCCCCTCCGCCCCTCGGGCGTGTCCGAAGGGGGACGGCGGCGAAGACGGCGCTGGCGAGGGGCGTCGTGCCCGCCCCGCCACCGCGCCGCGCCTCCGCGCCGCCGCCCGCAGCCCCATCGCAGAGGGCCCTTTCGGCGACGGCTGGCGCGGCCTCTCGCCCGAGAGGGCGCCGCCGCCGCGAGGGCGAGCGCACCGCGCCGGCTTCGCCTCCCCGCCCCCCGCCTCCCCTCTTGCGGCGCCCGCCACCGCCCCCACCGCTTCCGCCTCCGCCGCCCCCTCCTCCGCCTCCGCCTCTGCCCCGCCGGCCGGCCGCCAGCAAGGCCGCCAGCCTTGCCGCGCTCGGGAGTCGGCCCGCCCCGCAGAGGCGGGAGGGGCGGCGGCAGACGGCGGGCCGGCAGACGGCGGGCCGGCAGACGGCGGGCCGGCAGACGGCGGGCCGGCAGACGGCGGGCCGGCAGACGGCGGGCCGGCCTGGCTTGCGTCCCTGTCGGGGCTCGCGTCCTTGCCCGCCGCGCAGAGCGAGGTGGAGCAGTTGAGGCGCGAGGCGGCGCAGGTGCGCTCCGAGATAGACCTGGCGCGGCGGTCCCTGTCGGAGGTGCGGCGGGGCGCCGAGTCGGCGGGCGAGCAGCTCGAGGCGACGCAGGCCCGGCTGCAGGCGACGCAGTGCGAGCTCGCGGACGGAGTCGCGCAGCTGGCTGCGGCGCGCGAGGAGGCGGCGGCGGCGACGCGTGCGGCCGAGGGCGCGCGCAGGCAGGCGGACGAGTACAGCAGGCAGGCGCGGGAGCGGCGGAGGGAGCTCGAGGCGCTGCGGCGCGACGTCAAGGAGGCGGACGCGCTTCGGGCGGCGCGAGAGGGCGACGCGCCGCGGCGCACGCCCCCCCCCGCGTCGCCGGCGGACAGAGGCCGAGCGGGCCGCACGCACAGAGCCTCCCCGTCGCCGTCTGCCTCTCCGTCGCACTCGGGCCCTCCGTCGGGGCGAGAGGCCGCTCCTCAGCGCCGGAGTGCGCCCGAGCAAGGGGCGCACCTCTCTGCCGCCGGCAGGCAGCCCCTCTCTGCGCTCGGGCTCGCAACAGCCCGCGCAGCCGCGGTGCCGCCGGCGGAGCTGCCGCGGAGGTCGCGCCAGCTCGGCTCGCCGGCGGCGGACCGGTCGCTTGTCGCGCACAGCGGCGGCGAGGCGCTCGGCGGGGCTGTCGTGAGCGACTTGCTGGCGCAGTGCAACGCGTTTGTGGACAACATCGTCTCGGACCACCGCCGGGTGAGGAGCAAGCTGCAGTCCTGCCGGACGAGGCTCGAGGCCTCGGGGCTGCAGCACGCCGCCAGCTGAGGCGCGCGGCCTCTCCGCGCGACGGGGGGCCCGCTGTGTGTGAAGCTGAAGCGGCCGGGCGCGCGCGTCTCCAGCCCGGCCGAGACGCGAGAGGGAGCTCGGCTAGGCGTCGGCTTTAGGGGCTAGCGCTAGTATACGGGAGAGAGGTAGATTGCGGATGCGTCATGCGAGTTTGGGGTTACTCTACCTCGTACCTCTCAACCTGTGAGGCAGCGGAGATCGATAGAGCGTAGCGCGTCTCGATTGTCGATATCCGGCGGTATACAATGTTCTGCGTTTGTAGACACTAGTACAGAGAGGACACATGTCACAGATATACAGCGCCTCACACACTGGCCGTGCGGGGCGGACCCGGACCGGACGCGCGACGAACACGGAGAGATGGAAGGACAAGGAGGAAGCCGCTCGCGAAAAGGACGAAACACCGCGAGCGAACATGGGGTCGTGCTCGTGGACGCTGGACGAGATCCGAGGTGTGCAAGCAGCGCAAGGATCTAGGATGTGAGCGTGCGCGGCGGGACGAGGACATGCGCCGAGGTGACGGAGTGTTCTAACGGTACCGCGCTGGGCGGTCGAGCTGGCGGCGGCGAGCCCGCTCCGGAGAGGCGGGTAGCTCGGGAGAGGCAGCTCTAGTTGCGCCGGTGGGGCTCAGGCGTCTTCCTCGCGCGCCCACTGCTTGAGCGTGTACTCGGAGCAGGCCTCCGGGGAGCGGACGACGGCGTTGAGCCGCGTGCCGAGCGCAGTCGAGGAGCGCGCGCTCGGCGGCGACTGCGCGTCGAAGGTGAGGACGACGATGGTGCGAGAGCCGCTCGACTTGTGGTAGAGCGCGTCGACGCGCAGGGCCTGCGGAAACTCGTGCAGCAGGCGGCGGGGCGAGACGCGGGCGTCCAGGCCGCGGACCGACATCTTGAGGAGCCGGCGCGGGGCCGCTTTGGGCACGGTCTGCAGCGTGCTTGGCTCGCGCGGCGGCGCAGGCTCAGGTGCGTGGAGAGGCGGCGATGCGGTTGGGAAGGCCATGCAGACGAGGCTGGTGCCGGCTGCGGCGATGGCGAAGCCGCCCGCGAAGTGTGCGCCGAGAGCCAGCAGAGTTTGGGTGGTTGCCGCGGACACTTGGAAGGCAGGGAGGGAGGGGAGGGGAGGCAGCGGAGGCAGTGCGCCAGAGGGGAACGCCCCAGCGGCTACCAGCTTGGCCGCGACAAGGTACGCGCTCAGCTTCGCGCGGACAGCGACCAGCATTGTCTGCGTCGCCGCAAGCACTTGCGCCGATGGCTGGAGCTGCGGAGGAGGCAGAGCTATCGAGAGAGCCGTCGCGTGGACGTTAAGGAACGGAGTCGAGAGGATTGAGAGCACGAAGGCGACGCGGGCGGTCCACCGCGCGACGAAGCCGAGGGCCGCCAGCGGAGCCGCCAGCTGAGCAGCCGCCGGCGGGGCAGAGCTCGGAGCAGAGCTCACCATGAGTGGCGGGAAAACGCGACTCATCGGATTGATCTGGCTCGGACGCCCCATTGGAGGAAATGTGGGGGATAAGCGTGCCGTGCCGCAGGGGCGGGGAGGGGTCACGATTGCTTCAGCCGCCAGCAACACGCTCAGGAGCGCGAGAATGGACATTCGTGCGCGGCAGTCCGGTCGTCAAGCAGATCATCACGCGAGATTTGAAGAAAAATTGCTGCGAAAAAGATAAAAGACAGCTATGTTCGTAAGAGCTACATACACTAAAAAAAGATTGAACGAGAAACTCTGGGCGGCGCCATCGCGGCGGCGGCACGCACGCGTGTTATATGAACCCCGGCGCGGGATACCGGCCCAAAGGGGTTGCGGCCCCTGTCGAGGGCGGCGGTCTCCTGACTGGGGGCGCCGCGGCTGGCGGGAGCGGGCGGAGCTTGACGACGATCGCCGTCGCTGTCCTCCTCGCCGTTGGGGGGCTCGGCGCCACATTTTGGCTGTGGCGCCGATGGCAGCTGGAGAGGACGGTCACGGTAAAAGTCTACTTTGATGTGGCCATTGACGGCAAGTCGGCCGGCCGCATCACCATGGGCTTATTTGGCAATGCCGTTCCGTTGACGGCGGAGAATTTCAGGCAGCTCTGCACAGGCGCTTGGGCCGCCCTCCCTGCCCCACCGGCGGCACTGCACACGGGATGGTGCTTGGTGGGATCAGGAGCTGGCTCCACGTCCGCGGTGCGAGTGCGGACCGCTTTGCGATAGGCGAGGCGGGAGGCTCGCTCACTTTCGAGGGCTCTCGATTCCACAGAGTCATTCCCGGGTTTATGATCCAGGGAGGAGACATCACAGCAGGCGAACGCTCCCAAGCGTTCGCACAGCATTCCGCACTCTCGTATACCCGCTCGAGTGGCACTCTCAGGCGATGGCACTGGAGGCGAGTCCATATACGGAAAGACGTTCGCGGACGAGAGCTTTGCCATCAAGCACGGCGGGCCGGGCACGCTCTCGATGGCCAACGCGGGTGCCGACACCAACGGCGGGACCGCCCCAGCCTGGCACCGCCCGTGCCCGCAGCCGGCTCACGAAAGGTGCGCACGCTGTGCTGGCAGGCTCACAATTCTTCATCACGCTGGAAGCGACGCCCTGGCTCAACGGTCGGCATGTGGTCTTTGGCCAGGTGAAGCCAAGATGTTGTTGCATATTCGCTGGGCGGTCGAGATAGCACCAGTACCCGTTTCCTCCGCGCTTCAGGTACTCGACGGCATGGACGTGGTCAAGGCGATTGAGGCGGTCGGCTCAGATTCCGGAGACACCTCCAAGGAGGTGTCAATCGTGGCGTCCGGGGAGATCGCAGAAGCCCGTGCCCGTGTATGAGGCCTGTTGCTGGAGAATCTCGAATTTATTTTTCGCAGAAGCCCGTGCCCGTGTATGAGGCTTGTTGCTGGAGAATCTCGAATTTATTTTTTGGCCAAGAATGGGCTAGGGCTGCAGAAGCAGCGTGTCTCAGTCGTTCTTCACACGGCCATCGCAGAGCAGATTCCCCCAGTAGCAGTACCCAGATTGTGAATGAGCTTGCCTGCGCCCTGCGCGGCGACGGTCGCGCGGGGCGAGCGGGGCATGGCGAGCGGCGAGGGCGGTCGAGTGCACGGAGCTAGAAGTGCCTCGCCGTCCTCGCAGGAGTCGCTTAGGCGGCTCCCGTGGTGTACCTGTGTTAGTGCCAGCGCGCGCCAGTCCTTGCGAAGAAAATTCGCCCGGCTTAAAATTCTTTTTTTGAGAGCGCCTTCGTTGTTAATAGTACAAACCCAATGGTCCCTTGGCCTTGCGAGCGGTCCTTCGTTGCAGTCGCACACACGCACACGCCGCGCCGCACCGCGCGCCCGCCCACTGCCCCGCCCAGGCGGGAAAGAGATGAGGAGATGGGACAGCAAAGGAGGAGCCACGAACACGTATGGGAGGGTTCAGCGTTGTGCGCCACGCTGCCCGGCGTTTCTCACTTTCCGGGACAGCCCCGCCCTTTCGAGGCAGGAAAGTGACGGCTACCCCGTACGCCCTGTTGCTTCTACCCCGACGCCGACCGCCCATTCCCCCCTCCTCGTTCCCCCCTCGAATTCTCCCGGCCCCGACAAGCCGCCCGACGTTGGGCCTCTGCTCCGCACGCCCCCGCCCCTTCTGCCCCTCGCTCACACCCCGGCCCGACACGCACATACAAGACAAACCCGGCGTCCTGCTCTCAAAAGAAAAGAAAAAATGGGAAGGAGGAGACCGGCGGGGGAGACTCCCCGCCTATGCAACACCCCAGAGATACAACGCTGTCTCAAGGTCCGACCTGTGGGCTCTGCCTACGCTCGGCACCGGGCACCGCCTCGGTACACAAAATGCGCCTGCGGGCGGACCCTTACAGATCACAGATCACACCCCAGAGAGGGGCTGCCATCGCCGAAGCTGTGCCTAAGCATAGCTCCCAAACCCGCAGCGGCCCGGGGGGCCTTGGGGGCAGCCTGCCGGACCGCCGCTGCACGGGGCTAGGCACCAGAAGATGAGTGGAATTGATGAATTGGGTCGTTGTCCGTGCCTCCCCTCTATACGTCAGAGTGGGACTTACGCCGCGCCGGGTAAGGGGCGCGCCCGGTCCTCAAATTCTTTTTCCACCCGGGCCGGCCCCTGGGCCCCTGCGTGCCGCGCGCCTGGCGAGTAGAGGCCCCGCCCCACCCAGGGTACCCTCTCCGAGGACCCATTTGCGACTCGCCGGGGCTCTGCTCCAAGAGACCTTAAGGTGATTCACGGGTGTCCGCGGCCCACTGTGCCCGCTGGTAGGACAGTGACCGCCGCAAACCCTGTGATCAGCTCCATGCGATCTCGGATATTTTTTGTAGGCACCGTAACACCAAAAAACTACTATGTCTTGCAGTGAAAAGTAATCCGAGCAAACCCGCGGCCGCAATGAATTAAAAGGGGCGGTTTTCGAGGGGGGATCTGGAGAATCTGGGAATCTGCTCACCACGGACCCCCGCGTCATCGAAAAACTTTTCACTGCAAGACATAGTACTTTTTTAAGGTGCTCTACAAGCTAGGCACAAAAGATATGGCATTGCAGGCCATTTAGGGCCCCTTAGACGGTCACTGAGTAGGCCAAAATCCCCACTGGGCCGGGAGCAAGCGAGCAACCTTAAACACAACAGGGTTTGTGTGTGTGTGTGTGTTATGGTATGGTACTCTCGCGCAACCCACCTCGAGACCATACCCCCCCGCCTGCTGACAGACCCAGCCTCCCGGAGACCGGGGATGGGCGGTCAGGACCTTCCCCCCCACTGAGGGTACCATACCGGGAAAATGTTGGAACCCAGGCATCAGCATATCTGTAGAGCTCCATGTGCATGACTGCGCTCCACCTCCTCCTGCTCTGCCCTGGCGCTCTATCGCACCCCACCCGCTACCCGCCCAAGCCGCCCGCTGGGGTGAAGGGCCTGTACTGGGACCGCACGTCGCTCAAGCAGCGAATCCACTACGAGGTGGCCGAGCCACCGAAAGGCCCGTCCAATTCGGCGCCGGTCCTGCTCTTAAATGGATTTGGCGTCGGCAGCTTCACATGGCATCGCAACATGGCCGCCCTCGCCGCCTCGACCGGCGCCAGCGTGTACGCCATGGACTATGTCGGCCAGGGCGCTTCATGGCCGGTCGACTGCGACGATGGCAATGCCGAGTCCGAGCAAGGGCTGCGATACGCCATCGACGACTGGAAGGCGCAGGCGGCTGAGTTCATCGATGCGATCGTGCTGCGCGGCGCCTCTCCAGACGCATGTGTTCATCTGGTCGGCAACTCTGCGGGAGGCTTGCTTGCCGCGCTCCTCGCCGCCGAGCCGGGCAGCCGCGTCGCGTCGCTCTGCCTGCTCAACGCGACGCCCGTCTGGGGATCCAATCTGCCCGGCTGGGACGGCCGCCTGCCAGGGCCGGCTGTGCCGCGAGCGATTGGCCGATACCTGTACGACCGCATGCGCGACCGAGCCAACATCGCAGAGATGCTCGAGCAGGTGTACGCCGCGCCCGAGCAGGCGGAGCCTCTGATCGAGCAGATCCGCGCCGTGACCGACGCGAGCGAGGGCGGCCACGCCGCCTTCGCGTCCATCCTCTGGTCGCCGCCCGCCACGCTGCCCGGCGGCGCCGGCGGCTTCGAGGCGCTGCTGCAGCTCTGCGGGTGCGACGCGCTGCTGCTCTACGGCGCAGACGACCCGTGGTGCTCGCCTCCCTTCGGGCGGGCCGCCGCCCGCGCCCTGACGCGCCGCGCGTGCGCCGGCGAGAGGCGGACCGAGCTCGTCCTCCTCTCGCCCGCCGGCCACTGCCCCCACCACGAGGCGCCGGAGGCGGCCAACGCCATCCTCTCCAGGTGGGTCAAGGGGCAGCCGCCGCTCGCGAGTGCGGACGCCGCCACGGAGGCGTTTGGGCGCGTGAGCGCAGCGCGCGCACAGAGCGAGGGCGAGCTCGAGCCGCGGACGCCGTGGGAGGGGCTTCTGACTGGCATGCTGTCCTGAGGCGTTCTCCGACTCTCGGGCATCCGCATGCTGCCACTGCGAGCGACCTCTCGTGCGAGTTGTGTGTCTGAGTGTCTCCGGCCGACTCTCTGACTCTTCTGTGTGTGCATGCCGTGTACTACGTACCTCTCTCAAGATTGTATCGCATAGGCATGTACCTGTGCCTATGTCCAGTGTACACGGAAAAGAAGACGCGGTAGACGGATAAACGATATAATGTGTGTGGAGACGATTACCTTACCTTACCTTAATGTTAAACGATATAAATTATAATAAGTGTGTGTGATAAGACATAAAAGAACACGTCTTTTACCCTCGCCACTTGGGTTGAGACAGAATCCGATGGAGTGCCGCCGTTGCATCCTCCTCGTCGTCGTCCTCCCCCTCGCTGCTTTCATCGGCGTCCTCTGGAGCAGCTGCGGTGGCCGGCTCCCAGTCGGAGGGAGGCTCCGCGCCCGCCTCCCCGATGAGGCACTCCAGCAGCCGATCCTGCGCTGCGACGGCTTTTGACAACTCTTCGCTCCGCCTGGACATGGTCTCTATCAGAGCGCTCCGGAGCGCGTCGAGCGTTGACGGCGAACAGCTGAGCAGCGATTCGTGCATGGTTGTCATTGGCCCTCGATCGAAACGGGCAAGTTTAGAGAAATCTATGTTCTCGCGCGTCGTGGGGCGTTGGCTGCTGGTGTGTACTTGTTACGTGACAACCCAGGGGGTCCTGGACGCCAGCACACACGGCTAGATGTCATGGCGGGCCGCCTAGGCCCTGTGGTCGGAGGTAGAGTCGGTGCACGGTGTGGGAGAGATTTATACTTCTTTCTTGTCGGTGGTGCCAAAGAAGAAGAAAGGAAAGCGACAACCCAAATGAGGGATGAGTGAGAGGAGGACAGGTCCCCACCTGCACGAGCAAGCAGGAGCTCGTACTCGAGTAAGTACGTGGGACAGGGGAACGGGAGTGGAGAGCGCATCGCGACACGGGAGCTCGGAGGGGGGCTGTTAAAGAAAGAAAACAGGCAGGTCAAGGGGAGGGAAGGTAGACTTCCACCCAATCGGGTGTGGGAAATGCTTCTGTTTTCTTCCCACATATACCTACACCCACAGGAGTGCATTGTGGCCATTGCCGAATTGCCGTTCTTAAACGGAGTCGCTTATTAGGCGGCTCCGGTGGTGTGCCGGTGTGTGTGCCAGTTTGTCGCTATGTAAGATTCTTCCCACTCCTCCCCGCTGTACACACTGTAGTCGGCGTCCGGCCCCGTGAACCTTCACCGTCTGCTGTGAGTGCGCACCGCCTGTGTTGTTTTGACCGCGCAAGATAAAAGGGTGGCTAAGGGCTCTGCACGCAAGGCGCCCGCGTCGCAGACGCGGTACCATTGACAAATCTGGGATATACCCCCACACGAGCAAATAGCAAAATCCGAATACCGTGCAGGAATCCGACGATGTGGGACGCAAGCCTTCAGCTGGTGCCAGACATCGCTTCGTTTTACGAACCAGAACGTCCGCCAAATCCGTGCTCTTTCGGCGCAACTTGAGGGGAAGCCGCTGATCGAGCCCAGCGTGCCCGCGGCCGCCTCCCGCGCAGCAGCGCCTCTGGGGACGACACGCTGCGGAATCGGATCGAGCCCATGGAGGAGGAGGACGCAGTCGGCGAATTGGAGGAGGAGAGGAGGAGGGCGCAGTCGACGAATGGGAGGAGGAGGGCGCAGTTGACATTGTCGTGTCTGACTCAGAGGAGGAGTTGGGGGTGCTCCGGCAACCTAACCTGATCCAGAAGCTCGCCGACGTTGTCACTCAACGTGCGTCATGCGTGCTCGAGCTTGAGGGAGGAGCTCAGCTAACGCTTCGGCCAGCCCCCCAGCGCCGCCGCCCACCGCCACCCACAAAGCACCTGCTCTACTATCCCGTACCTGGCTGGCTGACGCTCACCCCCCCCGCTCCACTTTCCCCTGATCATGCCCGTGATAGCACCATCACTGTCGCCGTCCTGGTTTTGAACGTGGCAGCTAGACTCTAGGGACTCGGTAGTCGTGACCGCCCCCTAGGAGAGAGAGAGCTTTGTGGTGTTGGTGTACGCAATAACGGGACAGGGTGGTTGTTCTCTCCATCTCCCCTTCTAGCTCTTAGCATGAGCTGCGCCCTGTGTCCGACCCCTTTTGCGCAGCAACACCTTAAACTTTCAGGCCCTCCAAATTCGGGTCGGAGCGTAGCGGAGTGGGCCCCGAGTTTGAAAAGGGCGACGGACGCTTGCGTCCTAGCCTCCAACAACGCCTCCCCGGCGCAGAGGGGCCCCCGGAGGGATGCACAACCGCTCCACACCACGCCGCTTGCGGCGGTCCTCTTCCCAGCTTCCGCTGAGGGCCCACACGTTATTTCCACGAGGTGAGGACTGCTGCCGACGCGACACGATCGCCACATGAGATCTCTGCTGCTCTGCGCTGCTGGGGCGGCGGCCTATCACCTCGGGGCCTGGCCTGGACACGCCGCTCGCGCGCCCGCCGCTCGCTTGGCGGCGGAGCCTCAGGCGCCGGCCGACTTTGGCCTCGCGCCCGGACAAAAGTTCGGGCCCACGGCGCCCGCGCACCCTGCAGACAAGCCGTGGACCAACCTCGAGACGCAGGAGGGAGTGCAGCTCGTCAAGGCCGCCAGCAACGACCTGCGCCAGCCGCTGCTCGCCGACATGGGTGCACACAGCCCAGCTGCAGCCGCCGCCCAGCCGAGCGCCCCGACCGCCCCGCGCCCTCTGGCAGGCAACGACGAGATCTCGGTGTCAAAGGACTCGATCCACATCCTCAAGCACCACGGCTCGTACATGCAGCAGAACCGCGACCTCAAGAAGAAGGCCGACCGCGACAAGTCGTACCAGTTCATGCTGCGGCTCAAGGTGCCGTGCGGAGAGGTGCCCGGCGAGCTCTACCGGGAGCTCGACGAGCTGTCCAACAAGTACGGGCAGGGCGACCTGCGCGCCACGACGCGGCAGGCCTTCCAGCTCCACGGCGTCCTCAAGGGCAACCTCAAGACCGTCATCGCCACCATCGCCAACGTGGGCTCCAACACGTACGGCGGATGCGGAGACATCAACCGGAACGTCATGGTGCCGGCGGTCTGCTTCCCGAACAACCCGGCGTACGTGGCGGCGCAGACGTACGCGAAGGCGATCGCCGACCTCTTCCGGCCGATGACCGAGGCCTTCAACGAGATCTGGCTCGATGGCGAAAAGGCGCCTCGCAGCCGAGATGGTGAGGGAGGCAGCCGCAGGCGCGCCGAGGCTGTCACCTGTCCTCCCTCCCCCCTCTCGCCTTCTCGCCGCGCAGGCTGCGAGCGTCGAGTACTGGCAGAAGGACATCGCGCACTTTGACCTCGACAAGGTGCGCAACTACGACAACGGCAACGGCATCATCACCGGCCACCCGGTCGAGCCGATCTACGGCCGCACCTACCTGCCGAAAAAGTTCAAGATGGCCGTGACGGTGCCTGGCGACAACTCGGTCGACCTGTACATCAACGACGTGGGCGCGGTGGTCATCATGGAGCCGGACGGCAAGACGGTCAAGGGCTTCAACATCGTCGTCGGCGGAGGCATGGGACGCACGCATCGCAAGGAGGAGACCTTCGCTCGCGCGGCCGACCACCTCGGCTTCGTCAAGGAGGCGGACTTCTTCGAGTGCCTCAAGGCGAGGGAGGGAGGGAGGGGGGAGGGGGGACTCACTGACCGACCCGCCTTCTCGAGCGCCTCCAGGCGATCATCGCGGTGCAGCGCGACCACGGCAACCGCGAGGTGCCCTCGGGATACCCTCAAAGCGCCTCGTCCGCCCGCGTCTTCGCAGCCTCCTTCCCCTCTGCTCACAGGTGCGCTCGTCGGCGCGGCTGAAGTACCTCGTCCACACGCTCGGCGTGGACGGCTTCCGCGCCCTCGTCGAGAAGTACCTCGGCCAGAAGATGGAGCCGTGGGTGCCCCTCCCCGAGTGGAAGTACCTCGACTGGATGGGCTGGCACGAGCAGGGCGACGGCAAGCTCATGCTCGGGATCAACGTCGAGCAGGGCCGCGTGGCGGACTCGCCCGGCCTGCGCGTCAAGTCGTGCCTGCGCGCGCTCGTCGACAACTACGGCGTCGACCTCCTCCTCACGCCCTCGCAGTCGATCGTCCTGCGCAACATCCAGCCCGCCCAAAAGTACGACGTCGAGGCGGTGCTGCGCGAGCACGGGATCAAGCTCATCGACGAGGTGGACGCGATCACGCGCAAGTCGATCGCCTGCCCCGCCTTCCCGCTCTGCGGCCTCGCCATGACCGAGGCCGAGCGCGTGCAGCCGCAGATCAACGCGCGCCTCCTCGCCGTCCTCCGCATGATGGGCATGGGCAGCGACGACTTTGTCACGCGCACCACCGGCTGCCCGAACGGCTGCGCGCGGCCCTACATGGCCGAGATCGCCTTCGTCGGCTCGGGGCCCAACGCGTACCAGCTCTGGCTCGGCGGCTCCCCCAACCAGGCCGAGCGCACCGCCGTCGCGACCTCGATCTTCAAGATGAAGTTCGAGGACCTCGAGGCGACCGTCGAGCCAATCTTCGCGATGTGGCGCTCGCAGCGAAACAGCCCGACCGAGGCGCTCGGAGACTTTTGCCACCGCGTCGGCGTGCCCGTGGTCGAGGAGTTCATGGCCGCGTACGAGCCCGGCGCGTGGAAGGGCATGGCGCCCGCCTTCCCGCCGCCGCCCGCCGTCGAGACGCCGACAGCGACGGTCGGCGTCGCGAGCGACCTGCTGGTAAAGATCGAGGAGGAGGCGAGCGCGCGCGGCCTCGACGCGCCTTCGCTGCTCGACATGATTGTGCGCGAGGCACTCGAGGGCTAGGGCGACCAGACCGTCGCCGCCTCGAGAGGGGGGGCCCACTCCAGAGTGGCCCACCCGCCTCGGCGCGTGCTCGTATGAGCTGCGCGCTTTGGCGGCAGCCTGGTCCCAGTTAGCGACAACTGGCGGGTGCTAGGCACCCGCACAGTGCGCTCTCAGAT